CGGGAATCGCCCTCCACCGACTGCATGGGACCCCCAGAGCCGAGGGACAACATGGGGATCACAGTATGAGAGAGGTTTTGGGATATACCTCCATCCCCAGCACTGTAAAAGGCTGCTCCCTGCCTCAGTTTCCCTTCCCGCTGTCCCAGTCCAAGGTCAGTTCCTCTCCCCGTCCGTCACCCTCAACACGGTGAGGGGTGACGAGGGATGTCTCTGCTCCCCAGGGAGGACCCAGCACACAGGGGAGGTGGCAATGCCTGCCCAGGTCCCCCCCAAGGGGACAACACCTAGCTGCATCCCACGGTGTCCCCAGACCGCTGCAGTGGGTCGCACCCCACAGCATCAGCCCCGAGGCAGCGCCAAGGTGGTGGTGGATGTGGGCGAGAGGGGTTGCCTGCGTGCTGGTTTTGTAATAGGCGTAAGCAGCTCAGCAGATTTACTCCTGAGCTGAGTGTGACCCTGGCTAAGCATCCAGGAAAGTCCCGCCCGGGCACCGAGCACGGTGCGGGCCCAGCCCGGCCACCCGCACCCTGTGGGACTCGGGGTCTTGCCCCCCAGACCACCCACCTCTTCGCAAGGGGTCATCTGCATGGACAGGCCCAGGTCTATTTTGCTTGGAGCCCACCCCCTCCCCGGGTGGAAACAATGCTTGGGCAGCTCTCAACGGCCAGACCCCCAACCTGCTGCGTCCCCCACCCCACGGTTAATCTTACCTCCTCTTTAGGAAAGTTAAAGCGGCTCAGAGCAGGGCCAGATGATCACCCAGATTAAGGGTTTAATGGTACCACCACAGCCAGCTCAGCATCTCGGTTCTGTGCTGGTGGGTCAGCGTGTCAGTGTGTCAGTGAGTCAGCACATCACGCACACGCGTGTGGACACCCCCCTCCCCATGGAAACACGCATTCACTGCGACGGGGAAAGTGCTGTGCTGCTGGCAAAGGACAACGTGGTATATGGTGGCTTTTTGGGATGCCCCCCTCCCCCAAATTGCACTGGGTAGAGCGGAGTGCAGGCGCGGGGAGGGAGGAGGGTGACCATGAAGACACCGTGCACGTCCCCATGCGCTTACCCAAAATCCATGCCTGCAACTCCTCGCGGGCACGGCAGCACACGCTCCTGGGGGCACCGACACCGACAAGGTGCCCCAACGCGCGTGCCGGGGGGGCCGTGGGAGCACCCAGGAGGCCGAGGGATCCATCGGGGGCAGTCAGCTTTGCCCCGCAGGTGGAGATATTTTGGGGAGCG